ATATGATCAAAATAGTAAATCGCATCGTCCATTTGTTCTAAAGTCTTAATCATATTTCCTAATATTTCCTGTGGCAATGTTACCAATTTATTGCCGTTGTCCTTAGAAATTACGACTTTTGTTTAACTGTAATTTTTTTATCACGATTTAGTGACTTATTTATTTTCAACGATCCATATTATTCTTTATTCCAAATGAATTTATTTATAGGATTACTGTCAATGGCGTTCATAACATTAATTGTGGTTGTTTCATTGTTAATTACATATTTTTCAATCATAATTTACTTAGCATTAATTTGTTTACATAACCGACCGCCCCTTTTAAATTTTTTTTTTATTGCAGTAAAGTTACGTGTTTTGAAACTATTTCATTATTTATATTATAAGATAGGCGAATACGCATAATTCCAGTTATATTGTAATTATAAGTCCACATTCACTTTTTTGAGTCAATTAGCTGCGCCTTGAGTGAGATTGTAGATGTCTCTTGTCACCCCCACTTATGACGAAAAGAGTTAAATCAACCATGTCCCGATCTAAGCCTTTTCAACTGGCAGCAAAGCTTACGACGTAGATTGTAACCCTAATTTTGGCCGTTAGGACTGCGACTTGGGCAATCATTCCGTCACTTCCGTGTTCCACTCACACATCGATGTCGAAGTGAGAGAGACTCGGGACAGAGATGCAAGGGGGTGACGGAACTTGAGCATGATCGTCGGTGGATGACAAAATTCAGCATAGGCAGGAAGCGATAGTGAAGTAAAGTGTTCCGAAACTTACCTACAAACATATATATATATATCACAGTAAAGTTTCTTCCAGTATAAATCTTAGCCGCCTCTGGTAAAATCAGTTTTAGCTGCATTCTAGCTACTTTTGATATCGAGTCTAGTGACACTATACTGATGTGCTTGGTAGTGGACAAGATACAGGCAGAGAGGAGAGGAAAGTACATGGTACAGTCAACACCACGTTGGGTTGTACAAATTAATCATTTTTCTCCACTTGATACAAACCTTAATGTTTTAAGGGTAGAGTTTAAAATCAACTGGAGAAATTTTACCTGACGTAGGTACATTGTATTCAGAGCCAGACTCCAATCAGAGTTGGTTTTAATAAATTAATTTTAATATAGGATGACTGTTATTTATAGTTACACTACGCGGAATCCATTCCCTGAGGAGGAAATTCAAGTCATCAATGATCAATTCAAGTCAGAAATGTGACATCAAAGTTGCTTTTTATTGTGAATAATTGTTTTATTAGTGGTGATAAGCGATGGGGCCAGCGATCATTGTTGTTAAGCAACTTTCGCAAGAGTCGATCATGGGATGGGTGACCAAAAAATATTATGACGAGCTACTCCGTGCTTCGGAAGGCACGTTAAGCCGTTGGTCCCGGTTGCATTTGCAGTCATTAATATCGTCCAATCCGCATTGGGCCTAGCGTTCTCCTTAACCATCCATAAGGAAGGCCTGAGCCCCTGTAACGGGGACGTAAAAAGGCTGATGATGATGATGATGATAATATTTTTAATAAGAACTCTATTGTAGTTAATGATCCGAGACATTGTGGTATATATTAATAGGCCTGAGGTACTAGGCCTTCTGGATAGATAGTATAACATTTATATAATTCAAATAATAATTCGTTCCAAAAACGATTGTGACTTTAAAAATTACACAATTCCATAAATCACTATCAAAAACGCGGCCCGCGATCGTTGTCGTTAAGCAACTTTCGCAAGGGTCGGTCACGGGATGGGTGACCAAAAAAATTATTATCTCGAGTTACTCCGTGCTTCGGAAGGCACGTTAAGCCGTTGGTCCCGGCTGCATTTGCAGTCGTTAATAACCTCCAATCCGCATTGGGCCAGCGTGGAGGGTCATGGCCCATCCTCCTTAACCATCCATAAGGAAGGCCTGAGCCCCTGCAGTGGGGACGCAAAGGGCTGATAATGATGACTATCAAAAACGCTATACCTTTGAAAGGGGTGGTGATAGATTTAAAATTAGACATGAATAATAATTTAGGATAAACTAAGACACAGTTGTTAATATAATAATAATTTATAATAAAGACATAAATATATATTGTTTATTTTAGAATAGTATCGAGTAAATCCTATGCTTTTTGACACACGAAAATTATGTTACTGGTACGACGACGTAACGACCACCAACCACATCGCAATGGCCTTTAAATCTCTCCACTTAACTTAAAATGATGCCGTATATTACCCGTTTTAATATTGTCATAAAAATAAAATATTGCTCTACTTCAGCTCTTAGTCCGGAGATATGGAGCAGTTTATCTGTTTTCCAAGGAACTTGTACAGTTCCAAACTCGATTTTGGTAACAACATAAAAGTCTTGTGTGGCAACAATGACTACTAAAAGAAGAAAAATTAAAAGTTCTAAATTATTTCCGTAGCGCTCATTGTTTTTGTCCTGAAGCATTTTAGTGTTGCCATTGCCGTTTCGTGAGTACTGTGAAAACATTTCCTTTTGGTTATTAATTACAATATAATTTATTATAGAAATCTATTGACGGATCAGAAGATGAAAACGGGAGAATACTGACTGATAATCCCTTATTAGCTCCGGAATCATTATAGGTACCAAATTTTTGAAAAAAATACCTTCAGGAAATTTATCATATGTTATGAATAAAACATTTTTTTTTCAAAACATTATTTTTTTAAGGTAAATAAAGAGAACAAGTAAATATTGAAATAAATAATTCACAATAATTATAAAAAAAGGATAGGCATATTTGCTTTCTGAAGATCATGCCACAGTCAAAATAAAAATTGCTGCTAAAATAAAATAAGTAATCATTGACTTAGTATGTATGTTATACTGACCAAATTTTTAATAGGTAACTTCATAGCTTATTACCCGCTACTGAGCCCGCGTTAAACTGGGGGAACGGAAGAGTCCTGTAACATCCTTTCCTCGAAGCCATTTGGGCTATTCTTGACCCCCTATAACTTCGTTGTGGAGTAAACTAGAAGCCTAAATTTCAGTGACCAAGAGGGCATCACATAACGAGGCACATTTTTACAACAGAAAAAAAGGAGAACCTACATGAAATGAGATCTCTAAAAACCATAACATATACAGAAATGTACAAGTCTTACAACGTAATTCTACTGCAGGAAATCAATGTTAACCAAGTCGATTAATTTAGTACTTATCTTTCTGTGAGAGCAACTATCCAATCTTGTCATAGATTCAGGAATACTTGGAAAATACATAAGCATGGTAAAAGAATGTTACATAAATGTTTCTTCTTTATAATATTGGGTCACACTTATCTTATCATATATCTAAATCATATAGCTCCGTAACTATACGAGCTATTAATTTTGAACTAGAATGAAATCGTTGAACTAAATTTCAAAGAAAGAACCTAGTTTATGTACTTATCAACTGAAATGGTCTGGTTCACAAAATAAGACCAGTAACCTAAGAGCAAAATGGAGCGGGCTCAGTAGACGGACGGCAGCGCGACTCGAGAGCCATTCCGAGATAAAAGCTAGTGGGTAGGTGCACTACTGTGAACAAAGTGAGTGACCTACTTTATACAGTCCTACTATAAAGCCAAGCTCTTGTGCTTCGTTTGTTTCTTGTATGTAGGTAAATCTTGGTGATGTATGGCTCAGTTATGGTCGACGGGGTCAGTATGCGGACCTCCGGCGATGTATGCGGGCTCATCTCATTGGTCAATACAACAATGACAGACCACTGATAGCGAGTCACAGAAATTGAAGCGTCTCGACCAGTGTTAATGAGCTAGTATAGAGCTGTACGCTGTTTCTGGTGCCGCCCAAAATGAGATACCATAAGCGACTGGATGCTAGGTAATTGTGTAATTTCCAATCAATCCCTTTCAGAGGTCGAAAGATTGCAGTTAGCATTCACGCGTCGAAAGATTGCAGTTAGCATTCAACTGTTACGTTTGACATTTCTTTAAAGATATTGGTGTAGGTAAATACTTATAACGCTTGCCTGGAACAATTTCAAGTAAAGTCAAATTAACCATATCGTACACGCAATATCTTAAAGAAACATGGCGGTCGCAATCGCTATCACATTAAATCAAATACATAGTTGTAAGGTAAAGTTCGTGAAGATATTTCAAATGTCAAATTTTAAAGGAATTGTGATTGATTTTAAATGTGTTAAACCAATCGTTTCTTTATTAAAAAGAAAATCCATTACGTAATACAAAACTAAACAAAGAAAACCAATGGAGCCCTATTGTAAAACTTGAAAACTATATGTAGTTCTTTCTTTGACGATAATTGCTTGTCCTACCTTTTACCTTTACAAAATAAACATTTTCATGTATCGAAAATAATAATTAAAAATGAAGTCGTTGTCAATGCCATCTATAGTAGCATCTAAATAAAACGTCGTAGATAGAACGCTAAGTTTACGTTGTTACAGATTGCTAATAGATGGCAATATAATGGAAAGCAGCTTATATAAATTTTAATATAATAAAACATCTATCTAAGCTTCCTGAAAGGTTTTAATAAATGAAAATATCTCCATTTGTTTTGATAGTTAAGCTTTTTTAACTATAAATAACATTTTTAGGACATTTTCACATTATAAATGTAATATTTCAAAGTGAACAAGTAGAACGCTATCTATTGGATCTTAAAAACAACAGCTTAACGATGGGTTTCGGTGGGTGGTCTGTATTGGTTGCATATTGTCTGTTTGGTAGTAAGCAAGTTATAGTTAACTTGAAATTATAGATGGCGCTAATATGGTAAAAAACGGATATTTTTTTTTACAGCGAATGAAAATAAAATGTCTTTTCTCTTTATACATAGGTATAGCAAAATTCTTCGATAACTACTGGAATGACCTGCTGTTAAAAAATGAAAATTTGGTTCCATAAATATTGTGCTCTTTCTCCCTCAAACCCTCATCAAAACAGTTAATATTACTGACATTGACAACCATACTGTTGATTTCATTGTATTGTCATTGTCATTGTCGACGCCGATATAACCTAACTTTTTCGTTTCATTTCAAAAATATTACAAATGCAGTGTTACTAATCAAGAGTGTTTCTCTTCAGAAAAGGCGATTCATGAGCAAATTAGTTTCGCAATTAGTGAAGGAGACCGATGTCTTGTTATTTTTATCTGGACATAGATTTGTAAGTACCAGACTTTGGTGTGTTCCTCAATCTTATTTTGGTTGGACTGATCACTAAGAATAGGTAATTTTCAGGGGTGCGCCAACGACTGAGCTGGCCGTGCGGCAAAAGGTGGAAGAAGCAGCTCGTGATTTATTTGGCGAGTGCGGCGCAGCAGCAATTCGTACTGACGTCTTACTAGTAGAACACTCACGTGCATTACTCAGGGTACCGGCGGAAGACGTGCGACGACTTCGAGCCGCGCTTACTCTTGCGTCGCAACCTATACGTGTACTCGGACAAGCACCTTCACTTCAAGCTTTATTATAAGTATGTATTTATCTATTTTTAAACTGATGGAAATGTTTATTACAATGCTTATAGTTTTTACTACATTTGTTTTAATATTGCATCATTACCAACTTAATAACAGTGGCAAACTCACTATCCCAATATATTCCAATTAAAGTAATCAATATGGAGTAATAAATATGATACTTCCTATATTGTTTAACTACTATTTACTATTAGTAAGGACTAATGTTTACTATACACTTAAGTGATTTAAGATTTAAGTTCTATTGTGGTTTAGGATTAATATGTGCTTTAATGCTGAAATGACAGGGTCGGTCAATTAAAGAAATTAAAGAAACTGATATATATCATTTTTATGTCATTTTTTTCAGTTAAGTGAATCATTGAAGAACAAAAACATTTTGTAGCTCAAATAATTTCTATGAAAAGCATTGTATAAAAAGTTATAAACAATATAACTTTTTATATAATGTTTTTCAATTTTTGATAAGGTTAAAGGTTTCAAATTAATGTTAAGAAACAATTCTATATTTCTAACTACAAATATAGTTCAAGATTCTGTGTTGATACAATTTAATAAATACTAGTATTAAACAAGCAAAGTTGGTAGTATTTAATATCAGCAAATTGGCTACCATACTAAGCTACATATAGCAAATGATCTTTGTTCTACAAAGTAAATAATGTCTGGTGCCCCTCAGTTGTTGAATCTCACTTCCAAGGAGTTTGATTGAATCCATCTAAGATTGTTGAAGTTTTGTATAGGATAAATATCATATTAAAATAGCATTGTTAAGACGAAATTTATCAGATACAATTGATTGTGTTCCAGTCTTAACTATGGCTCGTCGTATAGAATTATCCTCTGGTCCTGGTGGCAAGGACTTAGTAATAGTGGCGGATCGTGAGGAGTTGTCATCGCCTAGCAGTGTTACACTGCCAGAGCCAGAGCCAGCGCCCGGTCTCATTGCTCCTGACGGATCTATCAACTGGGGCTGTCCTTGTCTAGGTGGTATGGCCACTGGACCTTGCGGTGTACAATTCAGGGATGCCTTCTCGTGTTTCCATTATAGGTAAATATAATTTTGATGAAGTTTTACCTTCTATAGATTACAAATCTAATGGTAGCAATTCTGTTGCAAGAATTAGACTAATTTATTTTTGTCAAATTGCAAGTTTAATTTTAAATTTAAATCAAATTACAGAAGTAAACTTATTATATTATTGTACACAGGAGTATAATTGTATTTCTTTAATTGCACATTACTTCAAAATAAAATTAGTATTTTTTTAGTTTAATTGAATTCAGAGAGTGGTATATACTGCATGTAAGGTTACCACCATATGTCAAATTATCTCAACTATGAACTTTATGTACTACATGTTAAAGGTTAACATCATGTAGACAAATTTGATAGTATCATATTACCTCATATACTGTTACCTATAGAACAGAATTGGTTCCATTAACTTTAACCAATTAGATTTAATACAAGAGATGAATCATTCAAGTAGAATATTAAGTATGAAAAGGAGGTGTCAACATTGAAAATTCATAGGTGGCTGGTGTGATATAATTCACTGTGGTTATGTCACCGTAAAAATATAAAAACCTCTAGATTGTAATATACACACGATATTGTAAACTGTGCATTCCTTGTTATTAGATTTTAGTTAATAATAATAGCATGTATGGAACGCACTTTGGAAGTTGATTATAGTTGATTACATATTCTAATGTACGCGTGCATAGTCGCGGGAAAACAGATTGTATTAAATAAATAAGTTTTATTACATTATCGAAATTCAGATGTAAGAAAGTTGTCTATGTGCGTCACCCTTTTTGGTGATACAAAATGATGATATAAGTCATATATTTCTAGTGAGGCGGATCCTAAAGGAAGCGATTGTTACGAGAAGTTCAGTGTGATGCAAGAATGCATGTCCCATTACCCCGACTTGTACGGAAAAGACGACGACTCTGACGAGTTAGCTGCCGCGCTCGATGCAGAATCTGAGGCCACTGCCGACAAAGCTGCTGCCAATGATACTGCCACGCCCAATACTGCTGCTACTGCCCCTGCCGCTTCCGGTGACCACAAATAATGCCATATACGTATAATTAATGGACTGTACTTAACCAGTGATCATGAAGTGGTGGAATCATAACAACTATTTATTTAGTTAGGAATTAAAAGCAAAATAGTTATTTGTTAAAATGCTGTAGATATTATTAGTTTGTGAAAGCGTTTGTGAAATTACGAAATAAAATAGTTTTTCGTATGTTTAACTGTTTATATGGAAAAAATACCTGCCAAGTACGAGACGGACCATTATCCATAAAAAAGTAAAAGAACACATTTGTTGTTTTCTATGGAGTCATTAGAAATTTTTGAGTTACATAGGTACAATTGGTCGATTATTACTCGTAAACTTGTAAAGCCAACTTAAGTGTGATAGTTTTCCTTTTAACTTTGTTATTTATATGTACTACTGCCGTAACGTTTGAATTTTTATCATCGTCAAACGAGGGGGGGGGGTCTCAATACGTCAAACGGTTTACTAAATCGAAAAACGACTTTTTCACACTCCCAATGGTTTTGAAAGTTATCCAACGATGATTTACACTGAGAAAGACGGAAAAAAAAAAAAAACCATCTCCACTTTACATGTAGGGGAGGTACTCTTCGAAATTTTGCTTTACCACTTTGTCGGCGTTATTAACGTGTATACTCATGCGAAATCAAAACTTTCTAGCACCAATAGTGTTTGAGCTAAATCGGACAGACGGATATGGCGAAACTATAAGGGTTCCTTTGTTCGCTACGGAACCCTAAAAATATATATCTGTAGTGCTATCCTGATATAAACCGCGTTGATTGCAGCGTCGAGCACAGCCTTTATTTGGTTGTACCCCTTATACTGTGACAGCACTATATTTGACACTGTTTTTAATAGAGTAACGAAGCTTAGCTTTGCTATATTTAACGTATATTTGGAATAGTCCTAAAAAATAATATCAGAAATTTGCATTGTTGTTAACAACTGTTATTTCAATTTGTTTATTCATTGGAATTAACTTATGCAAATTTTTATTATCCAATTTATACAAGATATGATTAGTGAATTTTTTACTGACATTGTGCCTAGTTATCTTTGATACGCGCTGGCGTATCAAAGATAACAGATATGCTTTCCGTATTAGATACGTGATGCACAGTTGTACAAATGCGTACCATTAATAAAATACATATTAACTTTTACACAATAGCAAAATGAAATTAAGCTTACGTTTCAATATTCGCGATTTAAAATCTTACAAAAACTACGTATATTCAAAGACACATATGAATGCCTACTACTAAAAAAATCTTGTGTCAACCGCCAATTTGATGGCCTTTGTATTGTATTGTATTGTTTCGAGTTGCGGATTATCTAGGGTTTATGCAGCCCAGTATCACTGCAACCATTGCTGATCTATTGTGATCTCCACATACATACTACAGTTCACGGTCAAGATTACATTCTGCAAGAAAACAGTTGTACATGTGTCTATTCAGTCCACAGTGTCCTGTAAGTCCTCGTACTAGTGTGCGAAGGTTGTTTTTCGTTAGGTTTAAGGCCTCTATGTCGCCTTTTTGCTGATGGCTTTGATAGGGGTCTTAGAGTGTTTCAAACTGGGAGTGTTTCTTCATAGTTGAATAGCTGCATAATGGCAGTAACATAATATTGAATAAAACAATTACTTATTTACATTGAACCAACTAGTTAAAGTATGGTTAAATTAAAAATTTGGTAACCCTGATTAATTCTATCAAATATATTTATCGTATCTATCATTACTGGATTTTTTTGTGTGAATCGATTATTTTTAATAGTTAAATTTAACGACTAAGTATGTTGAAGCAATTTATACAAATTAATCAAAATAAATAGGTAAACTAATAGATTAGACGATTTTTATTGTTGCAGTAATAAGTTTCTCGTATTTGATTTAACAAAGAACGTTAGTAGAACCAAAAAAAACCCTTTGTTTTTCAAACAACAAAGACTATTTAGTCAATTCAAAAACATGAATGATTAATCGTAACTACTTGACATTATTGGACTAACTAAAATTAAGCTGTTCATGCTACTAACAATGTATTTGCTAAAATAATTATCAAATTCTGATTGATTTAAATACTGTCTTACATGAATCAACTAAGAAAAGCGAGTGCCAACAAAGAGTGACTTTGTTAAATCAATCCACACAAACTTATCAAATTTACTTTTCAATCAAAAATCACTTTTCTTCTGTTTAAGACTGGTTTATGATGCATCAGTCCACAGTTTTATATCTTTCCTTGATAGATTATTGTTTGTTTTTTTTTTAGTTTTTCGTTTTATGCGACAGATAGCCGTTACATATTAGTCTGGCACTATTATTTGAATGTTAGTGATTATATATACACAGTAAGATCAATTATCAACACTTAAGACTTTGTTTTCACTTTCGCAAAACTAATATTAATAAATATCGGGAAATATTTAATTTAAAATTAAATTAAATCAGCTGTAAGGATTTGACAACTGTACACGCCAGTGTTGCCGTCAGTGTCGAATATGACGAGGCAAGTTTGTGAGAATATTGTTTGAATATTGTTATGAAAAAGATTAATTCAACCAACATGTTGGTCGATATTAATATGAAACACGCCCATCATCTTCATAGGTGCCCGAATAGTTCTAAGTCTGCAAACTAGATGGCGTTGTTCATTTAATGCATCGCGGTATCAGTTTATATCGTTAGATTGTATAAGTAATATGCCGTTTAAAGTGAACTTAACACTCCGCTCTCAGCTTTCGTTGCGCGCCCCCGTGCGCGTACACGACTCTCTCCTACCCAAACTGTGAGTACTCTCGTGCCGTCTGCACACCCCGAGCGCAGGCCCTGCTGATTTTGTTTTTTTCAAAACACAAACCAACAGGACTTGACTCATTCTCAAGTTCTTGAGTTGGTGGATACCTAACGGTGGCAACTAAGCCAACTGAGCGATCCCGGTGCGCTCGCTAAGGCCCTTCAGGCTTTAGCAACACCGAAGACCCGATCCCAGTGCACTTGGGCCGTGTCCCAAGGGTGAAGGTTTGCCGCTATATCCATTAGGGATAGCCGCACTTTTCCGCGTCGCGTTTTTCCCCCCTCGCTCCGGCGCGGGGTAGGTCTTTTGCACACTCGCCCTATCTCCCTCTAACCTACCAAGGTAGGTGTGACGGAGAGAAGTGCGAGTGAAACACAACTACTCCTCTCTCTCTTTTGCATCTAACGGTTTGCATTGCCGATATGTCAGACATAATAAAGAAAAATAAACTCCTATTCGACGAAATACGGCGCATGATGCCTGATAGCGACTACCAAAGAGTCATTGCCTTGACCTTGACCATGGCTGCCGCCCAGGCATTCGTCCGTCCCCTCAACCTCCGACATGGAGTGCGAAAGCACATCCATAAAGAGGACCGCTTCTCAGCGGTCCCCCTCCTGCCCCTCTGCACCGTCGGACGACGACCTTCTCAGGACGTCTGATTCCGACGAATCCTCGGGCACATTTCATACGGTTAGAAGCCGTAAGAAGCGTCGTAAGCCACGCTCTCCCAGAGCAAGTGCGGACGCTTCCACGGAAAACGTCTCTCCAAAGCCCCGCACATCGGACGGGGTGTCCTCGGTAAGCAAAACCGCCGAGAAAACCTCCCTCGGCCCTAACCTTACCAGAGGCAATACCGGCAAGAAAGCCACTCGGGAGAATACTCCTAGTATTACTCCCTCCTGCACCCCGCTGCGGCCGCATAATAAATGCAATCCGCAGCCGGGCAAACCTAAACCTCCGCCTCCCGTATTTATACGGGATAAATCAAGGTGGGCAGAGGTCTCGAATCTCTGCACACAAAATAAGATCAACTACACCCATGCCAAAAACATGGGTGTAGCTATCCGGGTGGAAACACCCACTAGCGAGGACTATAGAGCCCTCACTAGACTTCTAACCCACCACAAGGTGGGTTATCACACCTACGCTCTCCCAGAGGAGCGCAAAGTTCGTGCGGTTCTGAGAAATGTTCCGTACGAACTCTCCACCGATCTGATCCATAAGGATCTCAATGAACAGGGATTCCCTGTAGAATCCGTTCATAAGATGCACAGTAGAGCCGGCAGGCCTTTCCCGCTGGCTCTACTCATCATTCCAAATGTCCCCAACGCCCGGGACATTTTTAAAGCTAAAGACCTTAGGGTCTGCGGCCTTTCCGGGGTTAAAGTAGAACCCCCTCACCGACGCGGTACTCCGGGACAGTGCCACCGATGCCAACTTTACGGGCATGCGGCGGCTAACTGCTCCGCGACTCCGAGGTGCGTAAAGTGCCTCGAGTCACATCCTACAAAGGAGTGCTCTCGAACCCGAGACACTCTTACCCCTCCGGCCTGTGTACTGTGTGGCCAAATCGGCCACACTGCCAACTATAAAGGTTGCCCACGAGCGCCGAAGCCCAAACCCTCTTCTAAGAAGAGGCCTAAGGGCCCGGTGGTCAACAAAGCGCCTAAAGCCCCCCCCCCGCCCACTGCGGCGAATTTTCCCGCCTTACCAAAGGCGAACCACTCCGCCCCCAAACCGGCTTCACAACCGGTATGGGGTCCCCCTCCAAAACCCTCCCAGACGAAGCCACCAAAGGCTTCCGTCCCACCTCCCAAAACCGCTCCTGCTCCATCATCTATAGCCGATGACATAAATCTAGTCCTCAACTTGATTCGTGGAATCGACATAGATGAAATCACCACCCTAGCAGCTAAGCTCCGTCGCGCTTCGTCCACACAGGAACGCCTTCTGGCGCTGTGTGAACACGAAGCGTTACTAAGTGCATTATCAAAGCACTAACAACATGATAGGTCTCCCAAACCCAGTAGGCCATTTCACCCCCATCATACTGACCCTTCAGGTCAACCCTCTCTGCCCTCTCGACCTGACATCCCTTCAGGATGCAGGCCACACAAATTGTTACGGGTATCTAATAGCACCCTTCTGGTGGTATGCGATGCTCCCCTCCCTGCCCTCCACACGCCGACCCTTCAGGTCACACCCTCGTCCGATCCGGCTGATCGTTCCCCTTCAGGGAGTCAGCTGTACGTACCTCAATCCGATGTGCCGAGCCCCCCCGGGTTAACGGCTAACATCTCGACGTCACTATTCATGTAAGTGTTTAGGGACGTCTGCGCCGCCCCCCCCGTTGAGGGGGGGCGGTCGCTCCGGTTGAAGGTTCGTTGCCTCCGGGTATGTAACCAGTAGTCCAAGGCGGTGTTTAGTCAGTAGGAGTCTGACATAACCCTCACAGCCGGCTGTGTTGGTATCCAATGAAGGATTCACCGCCTCCTTCCTCCGTTGCCAGCTGGTTAGGCTTTGACGGACGGACGGACTGATGGCTGTGTAGAGCCAGAGGGCTATATTGGGTTTCAAACCCCACCTATTTCCCGCTAGCCGACAACATATCATCAGAGCTCTTTTAGACTTCTGTATAATTCCGTCTACATGTGCGTTCCAGGTAAGTTTCTGGTCCACTGTTACCCCCAGATACTTAACCTCCACTTATGTCCCGCTTCGGGCGGAATTGTTACGTATCAGACTGTCAGTCCCGCTAAGGGTTGCCATCACATCTTCAGTGAAATATAGTATTTACTCAAATAGTTATAAAAAACTAGTACACTGAAAAAAATACATAGTATCAGTGGTATCAGTCATGTGTGAACTATTTGAGAGTTATTCGTATGACATCAGTGAACTCCGTGAACATTTTATTTCGATTTTCTTAAGAATTACACAATAAGGGGGCAAAAAAGGGACAAAAAGTCACTTATATAATATCTTTAAAAACTAGATACAATCTTTTTCAATTTGCAAAGATGTCATTTAATATTATTTTTATATAAAAGAACTCCTAATGTTATAATTTATTTGGTTATAATTACACGCTGTCACATTAGTCAAAACTAATATGATTGGCGCGTTTATAAATATAAAAATAAAGGAAATATACCAAAAATGTAGTACAATATTATTATAGTACGGTTGGTAACCCTTTTTTTTGTTAACGCATAGGAAATGCACCTTAAGCCTTAAACCAGGGCTCCTCTTCCACCCCGCCCTTAAAAGGGAAGGTAAGTGTGGAAGCCCTACCTGGTAAAACCCGCTGCGGTTCACCTCACGCGAATGGATGAGTCCGGTGTCCAGCAAGGAGGGCCCGGACTCACGGTTGGTAACCCTAGTCCCGCTATTCTCCACGAGAAAGTTGCCCCAGCCCCGGGAGGGGAGGAGTGGGAGATGTATGGGCGCATTGTCAAGTTTTTGCCCCGGTCGAAAAAAGAAATCGTAGATCTGGGCTTGGATACAAGATGGAAATACGTATTCTGTATCTGTATTTCAGTTAAGTTACAGCTTTTCTATATATGTACATACCTATATAGATTAATAAACTTGTAGATTGAAAAATGATTACAATAACGTATCTAAGTATCACCGATTAATTTATTATTAGATGTTATCGAACGGTAATGATATAAAGTTTATATGGAAAACTTAAAACAGAGTGGTCAGTACTCAGTCAGTCGTTTTTAGTAGTTACAGGCGGTCCGTCCCGTTATGTTTTTGGTAAAATTTTTGGTACTGCTACTTGTGTCGGTAGCATACGCCGATCGTTACCACCCCGATGTGAAGGTGCCAGAAAAGCTGGGACATACGCGTACTGGTGTCGGTCCAACTGCTGCAGAGAAAACGGCCCAGCACTGGTATAACGAAGCTCGCAATGCAATTAACAAACGACAGGCGCGGTTGCAAGACCACAAGGTCGCTCGCAATACTATTATGTTCCTAGGAGATGGTATGTCTGTTCCGACGTTGGCCGCCGCGCGTACTCTATTGGGTCAACGCCAAGGTCTTGCTGGTGAAGAAGCTGAGCTTTCCTTCGAGTCTTTTCCCACCGTCGGGCTTGCTAAGGTAATAGACTGAGATTTCGTGACAAAAATGTCTAAGTACTTTCTAAAGCTTGATATTTCAATTTTTTGTGGTTGAATGTGCAATTGGAATAGTCTAATTTTTATATTAAGAATAAGTTTTTTTTTGTGTTTTTTGGTTTTTCATACTTCACATTGCCCTACCGCCACCTGTTGGTGTTCCAGCATATTATCTGACGTGTACTGAGTGCTATATGTATATCATTAGTACTTTTACATACTGAAATATCAATTCTTAGGAAGCTCTTGTACATTTTTTAGACAATAATACAATATTTGATGGTTTGCTTTTTAATTCAGTTGACATAAAGATTTGATGTGTAACTAATAATCATATTCTAGACATACTGCGTTGATCATCAAATAGCCGACTCGGCATGTACTGCGACCGCGTATTTGTGTGGCGTGAAAAATAATTATGGCACATTGGGTGTGACAGGGGCAGTGCCCCGTTATGACTGTCCTGCCTCAGAGAATACTAACAACCACTTGGAGTCAATGGCCGCGTGGGCTCTAAAGAGTGGCAAAGATGTTGGTGAGTTTCACAATTTGTGTATAGCTGCAAAACAATTAGCAATTTGAGGTTGAAGTTATTGTGATTATCGTTTGGCAGGTATTGTGACTACGACCCGCATAACACACGCGTCTCCCTCTGGCGCCTATGCCAGGATCGCTGATCGTAATTGGGAGCACGATGGGCAAGTGCGCGCGGCAGGTTATGACCCCACTCGCTGCCCGGACATAGCACATCAGCTCATACACACGGAACCTGGCAAATCTTTTAAGGTAAAATGTGAAATTTCGCGTAAAGTAATAATTATTTTTTGATGGTTATTCGATAAGTTATTATTGCGATAGCCTATCATATATTACTCGATTATTCAAATTATCAGTAATCGTGCATTATCTAACTAATATAATTATTAACTTAAAAAAAAGAAGTTTGATCATTTGCAAAGTACTTTTTATTTTTAAGATGTTATAAGCGGTCGTCCATTAATCAAGTGAGGTTCGAAAAGGAAAGGAAAAGCCCGGTTACAAGCTTATATTTAACTTTGTTTGTATGTTAGCTAGTGCGTAAATCTTGGAACTCAAATTTGACCGACTTCCCAATGTCTGATAGACTTGAAATTTTACATGTAAATGTCAGATGACGATGCAATATTATGGTGTCAGTAAGCTGATATCGACGTAAAAATGATTATTAAAATGATTATAGGTATATATGTGATTTAATAATAAATGATTATAATATTTCATATTTAAATTTTAAATATGAAATAAATTTTATAATATTTCATATTAATATTTAAATTTCAAAATGTTTTTAACTGTAGCGAACATTTCGGATTTTGGGGTTACTACGTTTCCGCTTTTTTACGTCGATATGGTGATGATGTCGGAAGGTGGTGATTCTTTCCAGACCAAGGTCTGATCATAATGGGACTGGAACGTGGATAGGAACTTAGCAATGAAATAACTGCGTCGTTTTTTCGAACAGTAATTGAACTGAAAAGCTTGTAGCGGAAACAAGGCTTAAATCGAAGACAATGAATATGTGTATTTCCTTGTCTTTCGAAGTCCATTACTGTTAGAGAATATTTTGATTATAAGAACTTTAAATGTTTAGAATTTATTTATTTACGTTTTAGTGCACACAAATTAAAGCTTGTTTATAAAGACCTTTTTTTATTATCTTTCAACATTGATATTTACTTAGATGTGTATTTTTTATTATTACTTCAGGTTATATTGGGAGGTGGAAGAAGAAATTTCCTTCCGAATATAACAGACGAAGAAGGGATGTTAGGATTAAGGACAGACGAGAGAAACCTTATTGAAGAATGGCTAAATGATAAAAATGAACGTAATCTAAATGGTGAATATATATGGAACAGAGAGCAGCTTATGGCACATATGGAATCACCACCTGAATATCTGCTGGGACTATTTGAAAGCGACCATCTCCAGTATAACTTGGAAGCTGATACCACAACTGAGCCTACACTCGCCGAGCTGACGGAGATAGCGATCCGATCTTTGAATAGAAACGAGAAAGGATTTTTCTTGTTCGTAGAAGGTGGGCGTATTGATCACGCGCATCATGAAAACTATGTGCATTTGGCGCTGGACGAGACTATAGAGTTGAGCAAAGCTGTAGAACGCAGCATGGAAATGCTTCCTGAAGATGATACATTGATAGTGGTCACCGCGGATCATGCACATGTCATGGCCTTTAATGGTTACACACAACGTGGTGGAGATATTATTGGACCCTCCGACCAGGTAGATTCAAATGGAATTCGCTATAAGACAATATCATATACCAACGGACCTGGTGCTCGCGAGCAAACCGATGGAGTACGTCCAGATGTTTTCGATGAACATAATGTTGGTAAGTTGTAAATTATATTTGTTTTTTTTTTATCAATTAGAAACATATATGCTCTGTGAATAAATTGGCCCGCGATCGTTGTTGATAAGTAACTTTCACATCGGTCGGTCAGGGGATGGGTGACTAAAAAATTATATTGAGTTACTTCGTGCTTCAGAAGGCACGTTAAGCCGTTGGTCCGACAGCATTTGATAGAGGTTCAATTTTTTTTCTTTCATTAATTTAAATTGTTCAGTATACATAAGCATGGACAGTACTGATTACTGATTGTACATTTCTTTAAACTAAACATTAATGTATTGGATGTAAGACAATGACGTTTAGTTTATAGAAATGTGACGTCACAAGATGTTCCATCATTGGCTCTTGTAATCTGCAGTTGATTTTTTTATTGAGATTATTATGCAAAAATAAAATTAAAAGCGTCTTACACATACTTATTTATTGTTTACAGTTACCATTTCCAACTGTTTTTCAATTTGTTGTTAGATCTGTCAAAAAACAGAACTAATAATAGAGAATAAGAGTTGTTTCTAAGGAAATAATTGAGGTGATAAAGTATTTTCATTTTTAGTTACAGCATTTTGGGACGTTATTTCTTTGTCAACTGCATGTTAGACTATACATAACTGTAAAAATTTCCCACTCGATTTTAAACCTTAATATATTGATGGTACGGGTCAAAATCTATTACAGAAGTTTGACACATTGTGGTAACCTCACGTGAAGCCGTGTGTACAAAACCAATACGAATGTCTTTTTTTTTTGTTTACGCACCCACTTAAGTTGTATATATATTCTTCGGTACAGGTGACACACGTTGGCGTGCCCACGCAGACGTACCTCTTTATTCGGAGACGCATGGTGGGGATGATGTGGCAGTATTCGCGCGTGGACCGCATCACCACATGTTCTCGGGACTGTATGAACAGAGCCAGATACCACACCTGATGGCATATGCTGGCTGCTTCGACATAGTCTCTGAAACTCATCCACATTGCAACACTGCTCACACTTTACGGTCACCGCTGCTAATCGTTTTATTACTGGCGGCGGCATCTCTTGCACGTACTATGTTTAGATGAATATAAGTAAATTATTTTATAATACCTATACTCTTTTATTTTACGCTCCTATTAAGTTAATGATATGAACCATAATTGTGTTCAAATTATTTAATCAAAGTCAAATTCAAAATAATCTTTATTCAAATAGACTTCTTAAAAGTACTTTTGAATCGACCAACATTTTTTCCCCTACTACTTGTTCAGGACGTCTTAGGCTGATAATAAGAACCAGCAAGAAACTCACCAGCTCTAATAGGAGTAATGAAATTTTCAAAAAGCATGTTAATGTAACAACAAGAATAAAAATTATCGAAAATATATTAAAAAAAAATGTTCGGTAATGGATACATTTATTTAATTAAATCCATCAAAAGTGGGCTTATATGTGGATTGTATTAAAATAATGCGTGTTTGGTACCTTTTGAGCAGAGTTTAGTACAATTAGATCGAGAAATAACGGTTGCAAATAGAATTTGTAACGAGAATATAAGTCAAATATTACACAGCGCCACCTAAGTTAATAAAGCGCACGTGCGTAATCAATACGAATTGTTTTTACTTAATGGTATTTCATGTTAAGGGCATGTTATCGTTATTAGGTTTATCTAACTTGGCAATAGATTAGATAATCATCTAAGTCCAGATATTTGATACGTAGTATATCGCTTAGGATATTTTTTTGATTTTAGGCACGTGAATTCTAAGAAATTAAAACCTCTGACAGTTACAGCAAGGATATCTTGGTAGGTATGTACGGAGTACATACGAGTATATTCACGGAACAGAAAATGGGCTTATTTGTGTAATAAAGTAAGTGGTTATATTTTTAACGCTGGAATTTTTTTTCTTTATTGTGTGCTTCTTATAATCTGACAGAAAAGTTAGATACATAAGTCACGGTTGCAACAAACCTTTTTCGTTTCTATGACGTTCATACTAAATTCTATATACTCTTTGACAATAATACGTCTTCAATCTAATCCTGAAAGGTGTCTTGGCCTGCTCGTCCGCATCATCCTTTCACAGTCACATGTTCGATCTAACGGAGCCTGGTCCCTGTTAACTTAATTCAATGACATTATCTTAGGGGTAACCAATCTTTTCATCATGTAAGCAGTTTGCCAGCGTTACATCAGAAAATATATTATAGTTCTCACAAGTCAACTGCGTTTTTTTTACTCAACTGCTCGCTAAGTCCAATTTACTTAACCAAATCTCGCTTTTCTAAATGAACATTGGAAATAGTTACAGAATACAGATTTATTGCATCTTCTAGTCATTTTGCCTTTATGTTTTATTAGTTTTTTATTTTGGGATCTAAAAAAAGTACGCATTTTTTTACAGAGATTTGTCCAAATCAGGAAAAAAATGGTAATCCGTTGCAGCAAGAACTTACAAATACGGAGGATAACGTATGCTATATAACTGCAGTTTCCGTAGAGTTACAACGGTTTCTCGTGCAGTCTGAAGGCCGATTCATGAGTCGGGGCTATTTCCCTGCTAGTTTCACTATCATTATTTGAAGTCCAGTATACTTAGTAAACATCTGCTGTAATTGCTTAACCAGACCTGAGCTATATTGAATAATAACATGATTATACCACCAAACAGTTTCCATTACCTTTACATTGGTAAGCTTAGCTTTCGAGCACTGTTGCGGCGTTTAACCAAAGATCAGTCAAAGTATTTTTCGCTTCCGGTTATTGTATAGAGGATTTGTAAAGAGGACTTTTCGTCATCATGGAAACATAAGTTTCAACATGCGTTTCTTTTTTTCGGCAGATAAAACTTGGTTTCATTTCCCAAATAAAAACAATACAAGCCAAGTTCGGTAATCGGATACTTACTTTAAAAAAATAATATCACAATTTAATTCCTATCACTAAAAACCAATTAAATTGATAAAACTTTACTTATCTTGTATATCAAGTAAATATGAAACAATATTTCCCCGATCTTATTATAAATTATCGGCAAAAAAATAAGATTATAAATATATCTAAGGCATCATAAACTAATACTTGATTATATCATTTAAATCATTAAGATAAAATGTAAATCTTATCTTAATTTATTTCAATTAAAGTAGTCTGAGATCCAGTCAATTATTAAGTAATTAGTTACATTGTCGGTTCGTCGTTATGCTGTTGGAACAACTTTTGGTACTATTGTTGGTTTTGGTAGCACATGGCGATCGTTACCATCCTGATATAGACTTGCAATTTGAAGCAGAAGAGGGGACGACTCGTACTAATGCTGTTCCATTGGATGTAGAATATACGGCCCAGTACTGGTATGAGGAAGCGCACGAAGCAATTAATAAAAAGGAGGCGCGCTTCCAAGGCCATGGAATCGCACGCAACGTGATTATGTTCTTAGGCGATGGAATGTCCGTCCCCACACTGGCCGCCGCGCGTACTCTGTTGGGTCAACGCCAAGGCCGCACTGGCGAAGAAGCTCAACTCTCGTTCGAATCTTTTCCAACCATCGGGCTCTCCAAGGTGATATTTTGCCTCCTTTGTACCAACTTCATGAACTTTTGGCAATTTATATCTAGTGACGATTGACGATATTCCAGACGTACTGTGTAAACCAACAAATAGCTGATTCGGCATGCACTGCAACCGCGTACCTATGTGGTGTGAAAAATAATTATGGCACCTTAGGTGTGACAGCGGCAGTGCCTCGTCACAACTGCTCTGCCTCAGAAGACCCTGCCAACCGCTTGGAATCGATCGCAGCTTGGGCACTCGAGAAAGGAAAAGACATTGGTGAGTTTAACAATTTATTTTTGGTTACATAAGCTTGGTATTGTGATTATTGTGATTCGCGTTTGTCGCAGGTATAGTAACTACGACCCGTATAACACACGCGTCACCCGCTGGCGCCTATGCTAGAACTGCCAACCGTAACTGGGAACATGACGGGAACGTGCGCGCGGCAGGTTTTGATCCTGCAAGCTGCCCAGACATAGCAAACCAGCTCATACACACGCTGCCCGGCAAAGCTTTCAAGGTAAAACTAGATATAATAATTATGATTCTTGTACAGTAAGATATAACTAATGAGGCTAATAAACCCGAAAGCCAACCATGTTTATCTACTAACGAAACTTCGGATGATTTTGAATTGAATTGGTAGGTATGCTCTGTGTGAATGAAGTTTCAACATGCAGTTATATTGGTTTGAATTTACTCTAAATTACCTAATATAGGTATGTTGTGACAAAACTCAGTGTTACTGAAATTGGTATAGGTGGCTGAGACTCAGTGAACTAGGTACCTACCTTGTAGTTTGCCCCAGATATGGCAGACGAATGCAATTAAAGACTTACGCTGAGGCTAGCTATTGGTATTACCTGTTATAAATTTGATGGCGTATTATCGGTAAAGGTAATAACATCCTTCCATATCATATATTTGTTGCCGACAAACTTATTTTGGTCAAAATTTACAATATTAATATTTTTCCGTTGTTATGTAATTAAATTTAAATTTTTATAAATAGTTAAATTTGTGGTGATTTTGGCTACTGTTATTAAATTTATATTTAACTGTAAATTAGGCCAAGACTTTTGACGGAGACCAGCTGTCAGAACGTTTTTTACTAAGAATATTAGTTGAAATTTTAAATTTAATTGAAACTCAAATACAGTCAATTATGTTTTTGATCGATTCTCAGTCTATTATGGTTTTGACGATTTTTTGACTGATTTTGAGTTCTGACTGTAATATTATTAAATTAAATTTTTGTTTCAGGTTATACTGGGAGGTGGAAGACAAAATTTTCTTCCTAATACTGTAAGAGACGACGAAAACATGTTAGGATTAAGAACAGACCAAAGAAACCTTATCGAGGAGTGGCAAAATGATAAAAGTGAGCGTAATTTAAGTAACGCTTATATATGGAATAGAGAGCAACTTATGAAGAATATGGAATCACCACCTGAATACCTACTGGGACTGTTCGAGGCCAATCACCTCCAGTATAATTTGGAAGCCAACAAAACAACTGAGCCCACACTCGCAGAGCTGACGGAGATAGCGATACGGTCTTTGAATAGGAACGAGAAAGGATTTTTCTTGTTCGTAGAAGGTGGGCGTATAGATCACGCGCATCACGCGAATTATCCGCATCTGGCACTGGATGAGACTATAGAGTTGAGTAAAGCTGTAGAACGCAGCATGGAATTGCTGCCTGAAGACGATACGTTGTTAGTGGTCACGGCTGACCACGCACACGTCATGGCTTTCAATGGGTACAGGCGACGTGGTGGAGATATTATCGGCCGATCTGGGAGTTTAGATTTGAATAGAGTTCCATATATGACCATATCATACACTAATGGACCTGGCGCTCGCGCACAAACAGAGGGATTACGTCCAGATGTTCTTGATGATGACAATTATGGTAAAAAGTTGTATATATACTTTTTTACATACATACGATGTGTTACTGTATATTCAATTTATTAATTGGCGTTAGGACATGTTCTCTTATAGTTGGTAGGTACTGCAAACACTCGCTTGTACTAAGCCAACATGATTGCATCGTGATATCTTAATATGGTGCTGCATGCACTTGTCATGTCGCATCCAAATACGAAGATCATACATTACCAGTTTTGTATGTACCGTTGCCTTGCGCACTGTTGTACTCTCTGCATACACTCTCCATCGCGAGATTTTTCACGAGTTTATAATGTACATGGAGTCTCACTCGCTTCGTTACGTAGTAATATTGTAATTACTTTGATACAGGTAGTCCACGTTGGCGTACTCACGCGGATGTACCTCTAGGCTCAGAGACGCATGGTGGTGATGATGTGGCAGTATTCGCGCGTGGACCGCATCACCACATGTTTGCGGGACTATACGAACAGAGTCAGATACCACACTTAATGGCGTACGCTGGCTGCTTCGATGGTGCCGCTGAAACTCACAAACATTGCAATGCAAATGCTGCTCACTCGTTAGGGTCACCACTCCTAGCTGTACTATTACTAGCGATGATATCTTTTGCGTGCCATACATAGTTTTATATAAATTAGGTGTAAATATATTTCATAATTCATTAAAATATTTTATTTTATCCTTTTTATAATGTCTACAATAGTCACTTAAGCTCCAAACAGATGTAAGATGTTATAATATTATATCTTAAGATAAAATATTGATTGCCATACAACCCAATGGCCCATCACACACAGTTAAGATAATAAAATATTTGTAGGCCGGGCCCTAGAAAACACCTTAATTATTAATAATATTCATGTATGATGAATGCCATGCCTAAGAAAAATCCCTAGCTCAACCCAATCCCAACGCCAGTGCGTTGCTACACTATGTTGTTATGCTTAATTTGACAAAATCATGTATTGTTCCTCTATGGTGTAGACAACAAAGAATTACGAGTATTATCTTAACATAAAATATTATAGCATCTTCACCGTTTATTATGAGTTTTATTAAAAATACAACAACAAACAAATTTTTTTAATACGTAAACCTTGAACTAAATATTATTTATGTCACTTTTTAGGACTAGTCTAGTGCAAAGTGAATTACTAACAATGTTTGTACACAATACTCAGTATAAGAAACCCCGATTTTATCTCATCATGTTTAACTGCTCTTTTCTATATTAAAGTAACACTTACACTGAAACTCCGACATCGAGCTGACCGTTAATTTATTTATTAAAAAAAAACTAAATATTCTTATTCCGGTCATGAAAATTACAAAATATAAAAAATAAGTTCAAAAACTAAAACAAACTGATGTGGCATACGACTACGCTGTCTTTTGATAATTCATCATAATATAGCTATAGCTATATCATTGCTATTATAATATAGCTATAGCTATAAAATAATTTTTTTGTTTCAAATTTTTAAGGGCGTGATTTAGCTGTAGTCGGGTTTTAGTTTTGGACTTATTTTTTAACTTATTTAATTAATTTTCGTATGAGTTTAAGCAAAATCGCAATCAAAAGCTATCAATAAATATACATGTGCTAATTAAGCTTTATCGTTTGACACCCTACACGGAATAATCGAATAATATATTTTATTATATAGAGTATATCTAGCTATTTCAGAACCTTACTGGCTAAATTGCCATCAGTTCTCACAAAGTATCAGGCATGTAGAGAAACACCAATCATTGCTTCCATTATCTTTAAATTCAGCTCACCGCCTTCCATAATAAACGAACAATTTATAAGTACTGATTGTTTATCAATATTTTCTAGCATATACCTACCTCAAAATCAGCTATTGGAATCAAAGAAAGCTGAGTTATTTTGGGCTTTTACAATATTTTATTAGGCCACTTACAATTTTCACACGAAAAGATTTTCTTCTGTGCCCTCTTCATTACCTATAAAAAAAAAATGTTCATATTGGGTAGGTACTTACGATTTTAACTTTAACAACTATATACTTATAATCGATACTATCAACCGATAAACTGTCTACTGTTGTACTGGTATAGTTACTGTATATGATTAAAGATAAGATATAATGAATATACATATATGAGTCGTATAAAATAGAAACGTGTCGTCAGACAATGAGGTTAGTCTCTAAAGCAGAATCATGTTCCTGGTCCATCTCGTAATTTTGTTATTAGCATTGTGTAGTCAGCAGATGGTGTGTGATGATTATTATCATCCTGACGTGGATGACGATGTGCGTATTCATGCAGAGGCGAGAACGAGGAGTGCCAAGCCATCAGCCGATGAGCGAACCTCTGAATACTGGTACATAGAGGCCCATTCTGCCATCCGCACCCGTCAAGCAAAATTACACGACCGTAGGGTCACTCGCAATATGATTATGTTTCTGGGTGACGGCATGTCCATACCCACATTGGCCGCCGCGCGCACATTCTTGGTCACCTTGAGGATAACACCGGCGAAGAAACAGCTCTTTTTCGAGACTTTTCCAACAGTTGGCTTCGCTAAGGTGCTACATTCATTTGCAAAGTACGGTGTTATCGTTTGTCATTATGTAATACGAGTTAACGTTCTAGGCGTACTGCGTAAATCAAATCCCTGACTTGACGTGTACTGCAACCGCATATATATGCGGTGTGAAAAATAATTACGGTACCCTGGGGGTAACGGCCGCAGTGCCACGCCTTAACTGCACTGCCTCAACGAAATCTGTGAACCGTTTGGAATCAATCGCCGTATGGGCCCTCTAGCAAGGCAAAGACATTGATGAGGTTTGCTATTATTTTTGAGGTACACTACAAAAAACGTGCCATTGCAAACATTGCATGTATTATTTATTGTCATTTGTCGTAGGCATAGTGACGACGACCCGCATAACACACGCGTCCCCCGCGGGCACCTATACTAGAACCGCCAACCGTAACTGGGAACATGACGGGCTCGTGCGCGAAGATGGCTACGACCCCACATATTGCCTAGATATTGCGCATCAGCTGATACATACGCATCCTGGCTAGAATTTTAAGGTATCTAATCTTGCAATATTCAAAATAGTAGCAAAATTATACTGAGCTGGACCATAAACCGATTCAACGGTATTATAATTTATTCTTCTTTCTTTCTACCTAATTCTACACGGGACGAAGAAGGAACTAGAGGAAGAAGAACTGATGAAAGAAATCTTATTCATGAATGGCAAGATGATAAAAGAGCTCGTAACTTAAGTTTTGCTTACGCTTGGAATAGAGTTCAACTTATGTCACATATGGAATCACCACCTGAATATCTTCTAGGACTGTTTGAAGGAAATTATTTGCAGTATAATTTAGAATCCAACAAGACAACTGAACCTACATTGGCAAAACTAACGGAAATTGCAATTCGATCTCTGAGTCGAAATGAGAGAGGATTTTTCTTATTCTTGGAATCAATGCGTCCTACATGCCCATAATTTTAATTAATGTTACCTGGCGCTGGACGAGACAATCCAACTAAGTGAAGCGGTGGCACGCGTTTCCTTAATGCTACAGTAATGGAGTTCGTTACATGACTTTATCTTATGTGAATGGACCCGGCGCCCGAATACATAACGGAATTCGTCGAAATGTTCTCAACAATGATGAATTTGGTAAATATAACATTGAAGATACATGTAATTTTTACCAGGATCACCAAATATGAAGATGATATGTATTGTCATGTAGGGAATGCAAACCGGATACTTCAAAATTCGAAAACAACCGAAATTCTGAAATTTTCCTGAAACTCAAAGGTCAACTTTTTCTTTTTTGAATATAATTGTCGTTGGCGGACTCTACTTTTTTACTTAAGTATTCTATTTTATATATTTTAAGGCAAGGGTAAGTTCTATCAGAAGTGAAACTATTTTAAAGAAAAACACCGAATAACGATATTTTTTTTTTAATCAATTCATCACTTAAACCTGCGACTATACGCAAAAGAAGTAACGAACGACGTGCATAATCAGCGTGGTTATGTACTAGTTATAATTAGTACTCATTACGTTGAACAATATACCCGCTACATTGACGTTTTTCGAACACAATGGCTGAAACTATTTTTTTTTAATTATTCTCACTGCGATCGCCTTTTAAACAATTGCCTATCCTAGAAAAACATTCTTTACCACTTCAGTTATTAATAATTTTAGCACGGTCGACTTCTAGACCCCAGCCTTCAATGTTGTGAAGTGCTGGATCAATACAAGAAATATTATACGGCTGATTTAAACCACGCCAACCTTATCGCGACTGATTGACTGACACTGACAGTCATTAGTACAATAAATTCATTTTTTCGTGGTGGCGTACCGGGTAGTGAATATGTTCCCTTTATTACACTAAAAGATGGTGCCTTCACAAAATTAAACTCATCATTAAATTCGAGAAAATTATCTAAACGTGTTAGAATAGCTCCTAATATATGCCGTATGGAATCACTGCTACGATTTCTATTAGCGTTACGAACGCTACGGAGACTACAATCGGTATACGGCGTGCGAAGTCTACAAGGCAAAGGCCGATCTCCACCGACGGAACGACGACGGGACCGATATCTATTTCGGGGAATTCCTCGCGACCGCCAGCGTTGCGAACTCAGATGAACTGCTGATAACGCGCCGCACTTGGCACCACAAAATACGTGTTAGAACAGTGGATTGCGTAATAATCCACCTTTTTTTACTAAGGTCTAGATCTACATACTAATTTAATTAGTCACTAATAACAAATAATATCACAGATATCACTTAAACACGAAGAAAAGGTCCAAAAAGAAAGTTATATGGTCACGAAACGTACTAAGGCCGTGAGCTTTTCGTTCATAATCCCACTTCTTATTTAAGTTAATAAGGGCTCCTATCAGAAGTGAAAAAAAAAACACCATATCACGATAAATTTATTATAACACCTAAGCTCTCTTGGTTATCCCCGCACCCGACGACACCTCTGCCACGGCTACATTAAGGATACAATATTATAATTTATTTTACTCACACAGAACTGTTTTGGCGGGAAAACACGATAGTGACTCGAGCGTTTATAATATGTAATACTCACAACTGAGTACTCCGTGCAAAAAGAAACTTTAAGCTCACAGCCATTTAATATAATAAAACCTATTTTTTTTTGTAAATGATCATCCTTTTGATTGACGTAGATAAAATATGAAATCAGTCTTACGTAAACAAGTTACAACTAGCCCCGTAAACATGTTAAAACATACCCCACAGCGAGGTTTTTTGAAATAACGTCTATTAAAAAATCGCGTTGATGTAAAATAACAATTTATAATTTAACTAAACAAATGGTAAATGTATTTTTATAAATCAAAAACTGCTATACAATTTGAAATCTATGCTAATCGATTTCGTATAGACCAAAAAAAGTCCGCTACCTGGCTATATCGGAGCGCTTTCACGACACCACTTCCTGCGCTGTCCGGCGAGATACTGACCGAGCTTATATGAGACATTGCGTATTAAATAGTAGGTTGGATTGAAATCAAACGAATATACTTCTTTTGAGTAGGTCAAAAATGCTTGTACCTACTTACCCCTGTTACAACTAGCTTCCCGATTCCCTACTATGGGTCACTTAAGAAGGCCCAAA